TATAAAACTCATAGACACCAGATGGCCCCATAGCACTTGATCACCTAACAAACAGATTTCAGTCTCCCTGTAGGGAAACAGAGAGGAAGCTGTATAGTTTGCTGTTCAAAGCTATGGTTACTCAAAGTTTTACACAGAAAACTGCCTTGAATTTTATAATTTAATGATTTCATCATTTTTTATGATTAGTATATATAGGTAAGGGTTAGGACACTTACCTGAGAGTCTTGGACTGTCTTTGTATTTTATTGACCAGCTGCAACATCATGTCTTAAAAAAAAGCTGCAACTAATATCTCTGCAGAACTTGGTCCTGTAGGAACAAGTATGATAGATGCCAGAATAATGTGAGTTCAAGCCGTACAATCCTAAACATCCACTGGACAGATTATGTGACCAACATGTCTGTCCTTGAACAGGCAGCTGTCACGAGCATTGAGGCCATGCTGCTGAGACTGCCGCCTCCCTAAGATCGTGCTCTATGGGGAACTTGCCACTGGCTGCCACAAGAGAGGAGCCCTGAAGAGGAGATACAAGGACTGCCTGAAACAATCCCTCAGCCTTGGCCATATTGATCACCACCATTGGTCTACCCTGGCCTCCAATCGGGAGGCCTGGAGACACACCATCTATAACGCTGCTGCTGCTTTTGAGAACACACGCAGGATCACCCTCAAGGAGAAAAAACAACGCAGAAAGAATCACGTCTTGTCGATATCACCTGGGGAGTCTTTCTGCTGTGCCTTCTGCAACCGGACTTGTCTATCTCACATTGGCCTTTTTAGCCATCAGCGCACTTGTAACAAGCGTGGGTAGAGCCCCTTCCCAAATCTTCGTTCGCAAAGCCCAGCCATGATGAATGTGAGTAGACAAAGCTGAAGTGGAAGCATAAGTATTTCTACATGATCAGGCACCAGCATCGGGCTGGCAGGAACTGAAGACACTGGAACAGGCAGAGAAATGCAGATATTAAAAGATTTTTAAAAAATCAAGTAGGGAAGGGGGAAAAAAAAGTTCATTAGGTGGCTCCAGCAAAAAGACCCAATTCTCTTCTCAAAAAAACTAATTAAGTTTCTGTTATTGATAGCAGCAGACACAGAGATGGGTCTAAAGTTTATTGACAAGATGTAAGCATGGAAAATATTGGCACACAGTGCTTTATATTTCAAGTAGAGATGCAAAGAATAATATTCTCAGAGGTATATCTGAAAATACTTAGGTTCTCTGTCAGCTAGGAAATAATAAAAAGCCCCTTCTTTACAATTAGCCATACTGAAATCAGGATCATAGTAAAAAGGTCTTGAACTCCAAACAAATAAATGGATTTGATGCAGCTATTTATGCCTTTATAACAGCCTGAAATACTATTTATGTGGTGGTAGAGAGAAAACATAAGCCTTCCGAAATAGATTCTCTTACCCTTCCCACAAAAAGACATGAGGACTAAAAACAAGTGTGCACCTAAAAAGGTGCATGTATGTTTATTCAAAATAAGTACTCATACAGAAGGACATTGATATGACATGGAGAATTCAGTCAGATTCTTGCTCCAAATTATCTTTCCGTCACAAAAAGTAGCATAAGCTGAAGATTAAACTTGCTATTTGGCAATATAAACATTGCAGAAAGAGCATGTATTTCCATTATGAGGTATTTTGCTACATCTTATTCTTGGTTCACCTCATGTTACATGACACTTGTAGTGCACAGGTGGAGACTACAATGTTCACAGAAGTTAGACCATGCTCAAATATTTTTATAATAAAACCAAACCAAGTCTATCCAGGTGCAACAGGGGAGTGATCTTTAGATTAGCTGAAAAAGGTTTCAACTGTAAAAGCTTATGCTTTTACCATAAAAAATCAGTCTATGACATGAAATAATAGATCACAAAGATGAAGCTATCTGCTTCATTTTCTCCATAGTTCCAAAAGGTAAATGTTGAAATTGCTTTGCACTGAGATCCAAGAGTCTCAGTGCTACTAAAAACCTTGTAAATTGTTCAAAAAGTATTATGGGTTGACCTCAGCCAGCAGCCAAGCACCTATGTAGCTGCTGCTACCCTTATCTGTCTTCCATCCCCAGCAAGACGAGGGAGAGAAGAGCAGCAAAAGCAAAACTCACTTGCTGAGATAAAGACACTTTAATAAGTGAAGGAAAGATATAAAAAAATAAACCACCAAGTGATGCAAAGGCAATCCCTCACCACCTCCCACACGCAGACTGATGCCAAGCCAGTTGGCAAAGAGCCACCTTGAAAGCCACCCACCCTGCTCCCCCTTCTTTCTCCACCTCTTCGTTCTTTTTATTGTTAAGGTGATGATATATGATACGGAATAGCCCTTTGGCCAGTTCAGGTTGGCTGCCACAACCATCTCACTCCCAATCTCTTGCACACCCCCACCCTACTCTCTGGGCGGGTAGAGCAGGAAAAAGAAAGACTTGATCCTGGCAAGTGCTGTTCAGCAACAGCCAAAACATTGGTGTGTTATCAACATTGGTTTAGCCACAATTCTAAAACACGGTACCATATGGGATGCTATGAAGAAGGTTAACTCCACCTCAGCCAGACTCAGAAAGAAACTCCAACAATTCAGCTTATTAATCTGCATGAGATATATCGCATGTAACTCACTATTTGGAAGTCCAAAAATCTAAAGCGAATCATTTACTGTAAAATGCTTTCAGCATATAAAACCATGTACCAAATTTATCAAACCTGATAGCAATCCACTACAGTCAATATTCTTCTTAACATTTGTAGTGGTGGCTTTGACCAGTGTACTTATAAAATAAGTAAGCCCAAGGCCTTCCCAAACATACAACTTTGTATGTGAGCTTGTGGGACTCATGTCCACATTATCAAAAGTGATCTGTTTTCCTCCTTCAATTTGCATATTTGTTTTTACTTTTTACTGCCAGCAGGTTGTAAGCAGTGTGGTACAGTAGATATGCATAAATAGAATCATAAATAAAATAAAAAAAGCTAACAAGGTGCTCAGAAAGGCAGCTCAAGGACTTTGCCATGGCGCATGAGAACTCAGTTCATGATGCTTGCTTACTATAGTTTCAGGGGAAAAAAAACCACCAAAACCAATAAAAACTCCTAACAACAGAAACTATTGTTCTCCTTTTTAGGAAACTTCCCTGTCTGACCATCCAGGAGTCAATCTGGCAGTCACATCTGCTCCTGCCCATAAGTAGACTGGGAATGGAGAGGAGAAGTGACGGTCTGTGAAAGTCAGCAGTGTCTCTTCATAGACCTTCACTGCTTCTCAAAGTTTGCAGGAATGACTGTTCAACTGCCAAAAACCCAAACAGTGCTACACCCAAAGACAGTAGTTTTTAGTCTACTGTGAAGCTCCCTTCTGTTTAGGGTAAAGGTGCTCAGCACCACAGATGTTTGACACACTGAAAGCCTTCAGAGTTGAGAGTGTAAACAGTGCATAGCTTTCTGGCATTTTAAGAAGTTTACCAGCATTACCCCTTGGGGAAACTGCTTCTCACCTCCAGAGAATAACAGGGGAGAGTCAGCAAGGTCCCCATAAATAAAACAAAAAAGGCCACCCCACACTTAAGAGCGTCCACAAAAATGAACCTATAGCACTGAAAAAAGTATTTAATGGTTCAGTCTTACATGCCAAGGCCCTCCTGCAGAGCAGTAAGACTCTGGCAGCACAGGTCAGTAGTCACAGCTCAGTGTTGCTGTAGCTGCTTTGGGGCTGCAACCCGGGAGCAGCAGCTGGTGTAGGGCTCCAGCCCAGGGGAAAGTGTCCTCCCAGGAACTCAGGGACAAACCTTCATGCAGCAAGAGCTTTCCAGGAAAGCCTGGGCTCACTTATAGTCAGATCTGAGCATGGACTAAACAAATTTATCTGCCCTGCGTTTTAAAGGTAGTATTGCTCATTGAAGAGATCATTTATGAATTTGAGAAGCTAAGGCACAACTAGAGTGAGCAATTAAGGCCACGATCTTCCATGTCCAATTTAATACAGACCAAGAAAGCTCTACTTCCAAGTAAGCTGAAGAAGGCATATGGGGGGCACAGTGAATACTGATAACATCATCTGTCAAGTCTAAACATGAATAGAGATTTCTTTCTTTATAATACATGCAGGTGACCCAAATTTGGATTGTGGGACACCAGTAAACTAAAAACCATTGTTTTGTTTGAGGTATTAGAAATGTTACAGCTTGTGCACAGCTCAACTGCTTGCCATAGGCCTTGATACAGACATGCCAGAACAACCAGAGTCACTCAGGCTCTGCCCTGGGCAGATGTTTCTTGGGCAAACTTTGCCCACTGAAAATGAGCAGCAGCAAAAGCAGCAGCCTGAGCTCCCCTTTCCTCTCTCCTGCTGTCCTAGGTACGGGGTCAGGACCAGTTTATCACTATGTGGGTATAACCAAAACTGTGTAGTCTACACAGTCTATGTCATTTCTGATGGACTGTTAATAATGCTGCTGCCCAGAGCACACCTGACACCTCAGGCTACAAGCTGGGTGTTAAAGAAACCCTGCAAGGCTTCGGAGTGTTCTTTTGTTTTCACACCAATGATTTCAGCTGTGATAACTCCCCTCTGGAAAGGCATTAACACCTCCACATCCAGCCTAAGGAGTCACCTCTGCTAATGGGCCATACTGGACTGGCATAATAGGCAGCTGCAACACCTAGACTCTAAAAATCAAAGACTCCAAAAATATCCCATGACTCACAGAGTTAAATCACCCACTGTGAAACCTTCCACCCTGGGGAGGTACTCTGCATTCCCACCTGAATTTGGGCATATATATAAACTTCGGGGTTTGGGACTTCTGGTACCACTTGTTGTGTCCAGAGGAGGACTAGAACTTCAACAGGACTGGGATTGCCACTCTCGACAAGACTGTGATCATTACTTCAACAGAACTGCCACCATCATCTGGACCAACAGGTTTTCTTTTACTTAACACCCAGAGGTCCATGTGGTACTGATGACAGAGGCCAACAACCACTTCTTGTCCCAGGGTGCTGTTTGTTGGGTGTGAAAACCAGTTTTCTCTGTATCATTTAATTTATTGTAATCTTTTTTTAGTAAATTGTAACCCTGACTTGTAATCTCTCTTTGATTCATTTCTACCGCCAGTTTACTTTTAAACCAGCACACCCACCTTTCTTACAGCAGGTCAGGAATATTTTCTATTCCACAGTGCTACACAGCAAGCAAGCTCATTTTTAAATATATCCAAATAGAAGTTTCTAACCGCAAAATAAACACAGTTCTTACAGTAAATCATGCAGCAAAATGTTAAGTTATACCTAATATTTCAGTTAATTATAGTGTTATTTAACATTTTTTTCTTGTCCTCAGTGTTTCATAAACTTATTTTGAACAAAAGAAGTTTACTTTCTGGGCTTTTTACTCCCTGTCATAACAAAGTAGTGATCATCTTGCCTACTCTTCGTAAGAGGAACTTTTGACACACCAGGTATTCCTTTGTAACATGATTGTTCCTTCGGGAGAGGCTTCTTGGCTGCTAGGGCCAAGCTTTTGTTTGTTTGCAAGTTTTTGGCTGAAGACTGACCTTTCGTGGAAGGCTGTGCTGACTTTTTGGTCACTGCCACTTTGGCAGAAGTTTGAGGAAGTCGTACAACAGATAAGGGGGTGCGTTCAGGAGGTTTGGATAAAGAGGGCCCAACCAGAGGGGGATTACTGATATTTGGCTGTTTACTGACAGCTGAGGATACATTTTTGCTTGTAGGTATCAATGAAGGTGGTGACTTTGACGCTTTGCTAACTGCAAGGGAAGGTGCAGAAGCAGAGAGGACCGAAGCACTTTTCAAATTCCTTGCCAGGTCAGAAGCTGTTCGTGGGGCTTTCTGAGGATGCTGAGACACAGCTCCCGAGATCTGAATAGCATTTTCAGAAGGAGGTTTTGCAAGGAGCTGCTGAGAATGTGCAAACTTCGCAACAGCACGCAGATTTGTCACAGGCGGCCGAGCAGCCCTTGGAGTGACTGTATTCGCTTTGGTTTTAGTGACAGATACAGGCTTGCATTTAGCAGGGACACGCTTCTGTTTTGAAGCCTTCATTTCAGCTGTCTCAGACAGATGAGACGGCTGTTTTTTGGAGGATGACAGGGTAGGATGGAGCGCTGGTGCTGGGGAGCCTCGAGGAAGGGCAGATTTCACCTTGGGAGCATCGGGGGACCAAATCCGTTTGCGCATGGTTTCGGGGGGAACTGGAGCTGTTCTTGTTCCTGTACATGAAGAACTTTTGCTTACAGGTTGTGAAGGAACAGAAGCTGGTGAGCTGCACGCAGGAGACTCCAGTTTCTTTGAGGTGCCAGCTAATGGTTTGAAAGGAGATCGCACACCTGTCGCTGAAGACCCTTGTAATTTGGACCTGACTGTTGATGACTTGGCTGTGGAAGATGGGGGCACTGGCACTCTTGGTGATGTCAGGGCAGGGGACTGAGGATGTTTAGATGAAGCCTTCTTGGCACCGGCCCCAGGAGCTAAAACAGGAGTAGAGACTTTTGATGGCTGCTTTTGAAACATATTGACAGCTGACATTGGATTCATAACAGGAGGCTCCTGATTCCTAGCTGATGAGTTAGGGATGCTGTCACTGGTGACCCCTTTCTGAAAGGCCAGGATTTTTTGTTCCAGAGTTGCAAACTGAAGCACTCGGCATGGATCATATTTGAGCAGAAAACCTTGAAGCGTGTCCCAGCCTCCACCAACACGTACCATCACATGCTTGCCATGTAGCATCTGAGAATGGAGGAAGAGGGGTTGGGAAGAGAAGGACAAGAGTAATTTCTGTCTTGTTTTATGCAGCATTAGGTCTTCATCTTACATCACCAACTATTTAAATTGACTAAAAATAACACATCCTTTCTTACAGAGAAACATTTTAAAACAGAGAAATTATGTGATAAACAAGCTCTATGCTGCCCAATTATTTTATTAGATAGTTTCTCCTGTAGACAGTCATTATGTGTCTGGAAACAATGGAAGCATCATTACAGAAGACCTTTTAACCACTCTGTAAGCATCTTCATCTAGTATAGAGAGTTTTGGATACAGGTTTTGTTCAAATTATAGATGCCCCTGTAACACAACCTTATGACTGCTGAAGAGAGTATTTAACAACACCATAAAAATGAGGTATTCCACTTAAAAGCATTTCTCTCCCCAATATAAATATAAATTGGAGTTCTGAAAAACTACTTACTCTGATGAAGAGTATTTTATCTCCCAGTCTATAACGTCCCTCCGATAAGTATTCAATTGAAAACCGATGGGAACAACTGCAGGGAGGATCTTCTGCAATATGTTTTACCTAGTTATTAAAATTGAAAGCATTTGTTAGTATTTTGAAAGAAGCATGTGTTTAATAGTCTGTTGAAACATTTAATGCAAGAAAAGATACCAATATCTTCAGCCCATAATATAAGAAAATACTACCATTCTAATCCTTCGTAAGAAAATCTCTGCTACATAAAGATACAAAATGTAGAATAAAAAAATAAAAGAACAAATTGTATGTACAGACAAACATTCTGAGTTGTTCAATCCAATTTTTATTATTTTTTCAGTTTTCCATTGTTTCTGCTTCTGGTTTGAAGACAAGTCTATGATTCTATGCATAGTAAACTCAATTCATTTCTAACCATGATCTTGTAAAGACACTGTTATGGTCTCTAGAAATGCCTGGGTCTCTCCTGTGGCCAAATCCACTGCTGCACCTGGTCCAGAGCTACTTCACCATTCTCCCTAAATTTCTGTTAGGTTTTTATAAGTTAATCTTCTATGAGACAACCAAGAAGGAAACCACTGAAAAAAAGAGAAAGGTAGTCCCCAAATATGTGCTGGGTTAGAGAACATGCATCTCTTAGAACCATTTAGAAGTGCAACAAATTGGAAGGTCGAGACTATTGTCAAGAAGAAAAAATAGTAAGAGTTTTGAGAGAGAGCAAGGACCTGGTGGCTGACATTCCCAAAGAAACAGCATTTCTACATTACTACACAGAGGACCTTTAAAAGAAATTAATTTTAAAGACTCAATATGCATTTTTAAACTAATAGAAAAATTATTCATAACTTCTTTTGGACGAATTCATAAGCTGTTGTGAGTTTCATTAGAGCCTACTTTAACATTTGATGAAGTTTTAGGAAAACATCAAATTGAAGAGAAACATTCATTGCAGTCATAGGATATTGACACACCAGAAAAACTGAATGAGAGTATTTCTTATACTCAAAGAAGCAATGAAAATGGAGAAGGGGCAAGGAATTCTAGGTGAGTTACATGCACCGAGGCATTTACTCCAATACATATAGAACAGCGTTTTCTTTACAAAACAAAACCAAAAAAACAAACAAAATATAAAAAGAGGTGCCTACCCTTCTGTTTTCTGTTTAAAGAGGCTAACGTATTAGATGAAAACCAGCTGGTGCTTACTGAACCTGATCATACAAGTATGAAATTAAGAGCTTGATTTAAAGCTCATGTCACACTAAGTAGTACTTACTGCCTCGTGTAGCTCCCCATGGTGACAACATGACTTTGCTGTGCTAACTGGTGATGGTGGCCCAGAGGTCATCAGCAGGGTTTCTTCTAGCTCAATTTCCTTCTCTAGTTTTACAAGTACAGGAGGTTCAACTCCATACCTCAAATACCAAAGCAGAGAGTTTAATTGCTAAGTTACTAAAGAAAACAAAAAGAAACTGATATTAACAAATTTGCAAAATTATAAGTGGTTTGACTGACTCAGCACAGGACTAAATCAGTCAGACGGATAACTGTCTTGATAATCCAAAGAGAAGGAGCAGAAGTCTTCCCTAAGGTGGTCTTGGTGTTACCAGAGAATGAAGTAAAAATACTGTGAAAATTACATGATTTAGGTCACATCCAATTTAGATAAACTGCCTTAAAGCTTCCCGCTCTGCACTAGAAATAAATCAGAAGTCTAAATGTGGAGAACAAAGAGACACCTGTTGAAAAGACGAAAACTTAAACCCCTTAAAACAATATTTAATGTTCAGTGAGTTCTTCCAAGAGGTACACATATCTATAAGCTGAATGTATAATTTAAACACTCAACTGTAAAAGGCAGCATGGAACAGCACCTCTCCATGAAAAGAGTCAGATAATTATTTGAAAAAAATATTCACACTGTATGATGGTCCTAGGAAAGCCACTCATTACTTTTTGTGCGGAATTATCATCCACTGCATTGCACTTAAGGAACACAGACTGTCTTAACTTTGTCTTAGCTTTTACTTAAAAGGATGTATTCTTCAATTTCTTGTTAAGATTATGTGCAAATCACATACTTGGATACAATGCGTCCGATTTCCAACAGACAAAGATACACTTGTCTTGGATCCTTGTGTAAAACTAAAATGGAAGAGAGTAAAGAAGAGTTACAATTCATATTTATTGCAGCAAGCCCTATCCAATTAGGTACAGAGAAGAGAAGATAAGGTATAGATGCCTATAAATTTCCCATTTTACCAAGGGGCAAGTTACATTATCATTGACAAAGCACTATATGCTTTTCAACTCTAATTTTCTATGCCATAAAGTCTTGGCATTCCTGAAATCAAACTCTTCCTTCTAAGAGAATTATGTTTTATTTGGTTTCATGATCTTTCTTCATGAGAACAGGCAAGAAAGAGATCTGAGGGCTTTCCCTACCCCCAAAGACATTATCGTAGTTTTAAAGATGAAAAGCATTTAACAACTCCAAACAGGAAAATATACCCATCTGTTCATGCTCATGCATACAGACATGGATAGGCACAGGCACTCTATAGGTTAACTTCCATAGGAAGATACACTTCAAAGGACCTAGATGACAAGTGGTTGGCTACACAGCCAGTCAGCCTAAGTGGTTTAGACCCTTGGCTGTGAAAGAACAATCTGGGTGACTGCTACCATTTCAGTAAGCAACAGATCTTTTTTTCTTATCACTTCAAATGTTCCAGGTGCCAGCAGGGTCCATCCATGTGGCAGGATCATCCAAGTTCCACTAGAAGATACCACTTTGTCAGTGGCAGCTCCCATAATCCATTCTATACCCTCATCATTTTACCCCCTCCCAATCAGCCCAAACCTCCTGCCCCATCCACCAAGAGGTTTTCTTCAGAATTTGGTATCTTTATGAGGCTGTATCTGAAAAGGGTGGTCCAAACCCATGAGCATAAGAAGGAGGTGAGAACAATGGTGGTTTAAGAGACAAACACTCAGATTCAAACATAGAATACTAGCTCTGATCACAAAGAAGCAACAACACACTTTCAGATATGTTAGTAGCACAGTTTTGCACAAGGCTTTGCTTCTCGAAGACTTGCCCACGTTAACTCAGCTAGTGCCCAAAGCAGAGGCTGCTTCACACCCCTCAGCTCAGAGCAGCTCTAGCAGCTACATGCACTTGATCATGTAGGCACACCAAGTGATGATCAGGAGAGCTGAAGAATGAGATGCAAGAGTGATAGGTAAACAATGCGAATGTGACTGTGGCAAGTCTGGGTTTTCCCAACAACTTTGAAATGGAAACATTCAATTATTTCTATTGCTGCACTGAAGAATGGAAGAGGCAGAAGGAGAACAATGTCTATTTTGGTTTATTGAAACTTCTATCTTTAGGCGTGCAAGGAAAAAGAAAGAAGGCCATGAACAGAGAAAGAAAATAGTTTAAAACCTCATGCACAAGTAACTACTTCCTCCCCTGTCCTCTTACAAGTCTCAAAACTGAAATTCTTTCAACATGTTCTAAGAAGAGTTGTATGAATGTTTTAGAAAGCAGACAATCCCTGTGCTTTCTTAACTAACTAGGAATACTGCCTAATAACTCAAAAATCAAAGACTGGGAGAAAGGTCATTCAACTTGCCTCAACCCACACACCGCACCATTCTTTCCCCCACTACCATCAAGTATAAGGAACCAGATAAGTTGTAGAACATTTATATGAACAAGTCTGACTTTCTTCACACCATGTAGTAACAAAATTCAGTGGAAACTGGAAATTCCTTCTGAAGAAAAACCCGAGCCTGCCCTATATTTACAGATGAAATCTGACATCTTTCTGATGTTTAATTTGATATTTAAAATTGCTTTGATTTAAATAACACTGACGTGTTTCCTAAAGTATATGCTGAGTATGAAGTCAGATTTTCTTGTTTACACCAACTACTCCAGTTTGTAAGTCTGCTTTTTAAAAAATCTGATTATGAAGGGTAAATCTAGATTAGAAAGTTGACACAGCCATAATTTAAAAGTTACTAGAGGTCATCTAATATCTTTTCTTTGAGTGTGTGTGTGTTTGCCAGAAGTGTTTGAATTTTCCTGAATCCAAAAGAGAAAAATCCAAGTACACCCCTAACAGAGATCAGGATACTTATTTTGGTTTCATGTCAAAGGGCATCCCATAATGTCTACTCTTACTCTCTGCTGTCCCAAGACCCTCTTAATTTATGTCCTTCATAGTCATCTACACTTTCAGGAGGTGTTGCCACATGTATCTGATGGGAAAAAGACAACTGTTAAATTATCCTTCCCCTATTTCATTTATAAAGAATGGCTTGGAGGTCTGATGGAAAACAACAGTGGAAAGAATGTTTCAAGAAGGCTGCAAGTCTGCTCGTTTCAACTGCCAAAAAGGCTCACAGAAGATATTTATGCCATAAAGCAAGCTGATGTCAGGAGTTACAATCAGACTTCAAAACACTTATTTGCTATGAGTGAAAGCCACAGCACTAGGAAATCCTGTCTGGTTATCTCAGGAAGGCTAAACAGGTTCCAGTCACCCATCCACTTACACAACCTAAGATGTTTAAGCAATACAATTCATACAAGGAACTACCAAAAAAATTTTCTTATAGCTCAGGTCTACTCATCTGTTTTTCGTGGCACTGAAAAAGGATACACTCACTAGACTAGTTAATCAGAATAAGACAGATGCAAATGATGGTGTTTTCTCAGCTATTTTAAAAGATGACTTATTCAGTGGAGAAGGCACCGGCAGTCCAACGATCATGTGAACGGTATTAATTAGCACAAAGATTTTGAGAAAACGCAGTGAATATTGTGAAAAATTCATTTGATTACTGAAAACAAATGTACTTTTCATTTCTTTTCGTTATTCTGCTGACAGGCAGATATTTTAATTATTTTAAAAAAAAGAATAAAAAAAACCCAAACAAAAAAGTATTGGCTTGCCACAGAAAGTTTTGGAATAATTAATTTTTACTGGTATAATAGCTGGTAGAAGAGCATTTCTTTATTTACCATGTGATAGAAGTATAGTTCCTCTTAATTAGCAGTTAAAAAAGATTATTTCCTCCGTAAGTATCAGTCTAGAAGCTGTTTGTTATAAGGGACCAACTGTGCACTGGGGCAAGCGTACACGTAGTTGGCAATATTTAGTTTTATAACTCTCTTATTAGATGAGAAAACACAAAAGGTTTAGGGGCATGTCAAGCAGGTCCTGAAGTAAAATATTAATTGCTAACAGACTGTTGCCACTTCAGGCACAATGCCCTAATGTAGTTATCAAATTTAGCTGTCATGAATGCATGATTCTCAGGGATTCCTTCAACAAAAATGAGCTCTAATACTGAATAAAGGATCTTACTGTGAGTTGACTCCATGGCCCTGTGGTCTTCCCACACAGGGAAAGCAAAACCACAGTTTTCTCCCCTGTTTCTCAGTGGTTCTTTTTACTGAAGGACAACATGCAAGTTTGTTGCACAGCTGTCAGCCCCCGCTTCATCCCACACAGCAACTTTGGAAAAGCATCATGCAAGTTAGAGCAGTCACTGAACTAATTTTTCAAGGCTTTTACTTGGACACTGCCTTAAAATAATAATAAAAAAGCATTAGTATCTTGCACAAGATGGGAACAGTCAAGAGAAAAGGTTCAAAAGACTATACACAGGGGATCTCCCTCACCAGGTAGTTATCCACATACAGAACGAAGTAAATCTTACAAAAAGACAGATTTACCTAAACCTTCAGATTCAAATAGATAAGTCTCTTCAACTCCAATAGCCCTACACCAGTTCAGAAAGTTGGCTGTATTATCTCTGGCAAAAAAAGATCCTGATGGGGCATCCTTCTTACATGGAACTTTTCTCATAGGAAAATTCTGGCAAGGGAAGAAAACAAAAGGTACATTGTGCACATCAACATTGCCAACAGATTTCAAAGCATAGTTTCAAAGGAAAATACACCCTAAATTCAGAGTACAGAAACAGTTGTAACTATTTTGTGTTCAACTCACCATGTACTCTATCAAAAAAGCTACACTAATATAGAGGCCATTCTATCTTATCATTGTGAACAGTCACTGAGTGAAAAATCCTTAACTCTGCAGCCTCTCCCAAAGTTGTCTATACAGTTGCTTCCCCATTTCCCCACATGCTGGGGTAGAAGTCTTACTGATGGTTTCACAGGTCTGGATAATTATTCCCCTTTCCCACGCTCAATTTTACAGTAGCAGAATAAGCACAGGAGAATGTCAAATCAACTAATTATACTTAGCTGACAGATTTCAATATTTTAGAGCCTGTTCTAGAAAGTAAAAGGAATGATAAGGGATCAAGGAGCAGTTTACTTTAAAGCAATTCAGTACTTACTTGTTTTTAAATTGGTATCTTCAAAACTAAAAAAGAAGTTCAAAGATACACAAGTTGTACATTTCATCCTTCTTAAAAAGGCCTAAGGACTTGCTAGGGGTCTGGCTTATACTGTGAAATCCATAAAAGTGTGGAAGTGCATTGTTGTGTTCAGCAACAGAACCACAGGAATCATTAATATTGCGGATAACTTGCATATTTCTTGTAGACAGAGTAAGGGAGCACTGGGACAGGCTGCCCAGGGAAGCAGCTGAGTCACCAACCCTGGAGGTGCTTAAGAGATGTGGCACTTAGGGACACGGTTTCATGGTGGACTTGGCAGCGGTAGGTTAGCAGTTGGACTTGATGATCTTAAAGGTCCTTTCCAACCTAAAAGATGCTATAATTCTAGGATTTACAGCATCCTTATAGCTCTTGTATAAATACTATTTGGCATCTTAAGTCTGCTGTCTTGTACCCCACAATTAATAATAATTCTAACATTAGTAAATATATTGCTTACTGGTAAATATCCATTATTTAAAACTATTGTTTTACTAGATAAAATTGTAGAAGTTAAACATTTTTTAAAAATCTACTGTTTAACAAATCCAAGCATTGCTATAGCTATACAGGGTACTTGTACATTCAACAAATGTTACCTTGATCAGCTTTACATGACTTTGTATTTTAAGTGACAGTGTTGCTTGAGATTCACATTTCAACTGAGCATTGATTCCCAACAAAAACACTGAAGCCCATCTTCAGGTACATCAGTTTGGATATTTTTATGGCTGACCTGTACACTAGAGTACAGCTGCCACTTTCTGGCATAAAACATACTACCAAATGCCAACATACATCTCATTATCAACCCACACTGATGTCACGAAACAAACTCCAGAACTGGACTAAATCTTCCTTAGGCAAGACTTCTACTGAAATAAAACGAAAATCCTACCAAGAACCTTAGGATTTGATTAACAAAGCAAGAAGATAATTCGTTGCACGAGGCCAGTTTATCCATTTACAAAAACATATTATTGTTAATCAGTCTCTGAACGCAGCGGGTACAGAACATTACTTTGGGAAGACTCATTCACCTGATTTCATTTTAATGACAACTACTTACTTAACTACTTACAACTGAAGAGTTTACATATGTATTTTAAAAATCATGATACGACTCACCCTTAAGTTATTTGAGCTACAACACTTTTTAATTGTGTTTTGAAGAACACCAACCAATTGGCAGAGTAATACCCCATTATCAAGTTCTTCTAGCAATTGTTCTGCTTTGACTTCCATTTCTTTGGGGAAAAAAAAAAAAAAAAAGAAGGTCAATATCAGAGTTACTCTACAGAAGATGAAGAAGTTTCATACGAACTTAGAGACAACCCAAACAGCATTCCAGTGTTAAAGACTGAAAATTAGTAGAAATATATAAGTAAACTAAAATGAAATATCTCTTTAATTACATTCTAATAAGACTAATAAAATTCAGAAATATAAATTAGAATTATTAATTATCCTACCTCTAAGAGGTGGCAGCTCATAAAATCTGAAATCAAAGCATGCATTTTAATGCAATTCTCCCAGCCATTCAGAATCAAATACACCACATCTTAATAGCAGTAAATAGCTATTAAGTACCAGCATTGACTAGAATATTGGAAAGTGCTTTGAAGTTCATTAGACAGTGATTTATTTTTAACCTCACCCAGCAAGCCAGACAGCCAAATGGACAGATCTTCTTGCATAGGCACCAAAGTTGCTTCATGGCGCACAGATATCCACTGGTCATACAGGCAGACATCTGCCAAACCCGGCCCGTGCCTGGGAGTCAGAGGACTTCGGGGACTTAAGGGAAGATCATCTCCAAACCACACCTGCAGAGGATTTCAGTAAGTTGAAGACAGAAAGCTCTAATACTTGCAGTCAGATGACAAAAAGTCACGGTTCTGAATTACGCTGAAGAACTATTATTCCAAGTGTTCATTTCCCTTTGGACAGATACACCAAACCAACACACCTCCAATTGGATGGTGAAGCTCTCACTGGTAACTCCTGCGTCAAAGTACTACTACATTCATTCTCTTGACTTCTTTGGATTTAAAATTACACACTTTCTTGAATATTGAATTAGGAAACATCCACTAAATGTGTGCTGGGGTTTTTTTCCTCAGCACATTTTAAGTCATGAAATCTGCAGTTTATCATATAATTTACTACAGACTACTCATTCCTCTAATCAAACATTTCAGGGGCATTTTGTGCTTAAATCATTAACAATTATGACATTAATAGAGAAAATATGTTCACATACCAGAACATAACACATTTCTTGAACATGAATCCTTAGCATTTCTCTTCAGGACTGCAGATTTTCAAAATGACAGGTAACTTACATTTTAAGAAAAGGACCACACAGAAATTGTGTACAAAATTCCCAAAGACAGAATTCTTCTGCTACTCTTAACTACTTTCATTCAGTTCAGTGTGTGTAAAAAACCCATTTATTTATTTATACTTAAGTAATTAACTAGAATGTTTTAAATATATAAGGTTTTAAAGACTATAAGGTTTTAAAAAGCACTTCTTAATCAACAAATGTGTTTCAATAATCTCAGCCTCTGACTTCAAAATCTTCTTAGATCACAGCACTAAGAAGTGAAAGGATCACCTAATAGTAACGATGGGTTATCCATTTTGTTACATTAATCTAGTTGTAAAATGGGAAAATTATTACTTTTTTTTTTTAAATTAGAGGTAACTCTGGGGAGTCTAGTAATTCATTTGCTTCAGGGTAGATCTTTGCATTAAAAAAAAAAAAAAAAAAAAAAAAAAAAAAACACAAATGTACTGTACAGGTATACAGGATTGAAACATTTCAAAAGACATTTACCTGAACTGCATTCTGCATGGTCACCTGCATTTACATTAGTTTCTTCCCCTGGAGAAAGAGAAGAGATTTTTAATACAGTTTTTCCTGCTTTCATGAAAATCCCAAGAAAAACTCACCAGTACTGTTTTGGAAAAATAAGAACGAGTCTAATAAAGAAAGGAAGGGGAAAAAGAGAAGAATCTTAGTGACAAAAGCTTTAATCCAGTATTCAGTCAACTTTAGTTCTCTGCCCTGAAATAAAGGGGCAGTTATTACAGCACAAAGTAGCAACTGCCTTTGTATGCATTAACACTACTTCAAAGTAGGCATGATTTTAAGGAGCTGTATGGCATTTATTCTGCCCAAATATAATACAAATACTTGAAACCATTCTTGTATTTAACAACACTGGCATTCATCTTTTTCTTCTAAGTTATCACAAGTATATCTTGTACGTGTGTGTAGGCAGATGTATGCAGCCTGACTTTACATTAAATACTCTGAAGATTATGAAAATCTTAGAGCAAGGAAATAACTTTGAAGAATAAGATTTTTTCTTACAGAATCATAGAATGGTTTGGGTTGAAAGGGACCTTAAAGATCACCTAGCTGTTACACAGATATATGAGAGAAATCAATGTTTTTATTAAATTTTGTTGGAATTGTGGCTTCCCAGACAGCATGCATACACCTAAGTTTTCAACAGAATGCTGAAAACTATTGCAGCAATATAGTTATCAGGAAAATTCCCTGGCAAAACAAACCTTAAGGAAAGTTTTAGAGGCAATCTAGTCAACACTTTCTCTCCTGAAGGCAACACAATATTTTCCAGAAATGCTTTTAACCATGGGAAAATCCAGCACAAGCTCTACACTGGATTGAGGATTAGTAAGTCTCTCCATGGAGGCTCCAGGTCTAGAGATGTGTAGCATTATCAGGTTACCTAGATACACATGTACCAGAAGGTATTTCTCCATCACAATTCTCCACAGTGGTACTGGGGGGTATTACAACATCAAAAACTACCTATCTGTGTCTTGCAGCCAAAGACAACTTTCTTACTCTGTTACTTAATAGGTGCAATAAAGCATCTTACTGATTAAACTGAAAATCAGACCGAAGACACTATCAGATGTTTTTAACTCATCTGTTTTTCTTTGAAAATAAGTAACTTTCCTCTCCTGTCCCAGATGTTTAAGCTCTGTATGTAGATGGTATTGTTCTCTCCTGCTGCACAACCTGGCCTTCCTACGACAAAAGGCTGAATAGCCCATCACAGAAAACACAATCCTTGTAAAAATTCTCCCCCTTCATCCTACACAGAAAGCAGAACAATGTCATTTCCTTCCCCTTTTTTCCTCCCACTGCCTAAACCCCACACACTACATCAGACCACATGTCTCAGCCATTTCAAACAACGTACCTCTATGACCAGCAAACAGGCAACCAGTTTGTTTTCAGGCTGAAGCCACTTCCCTGTAGCACAACTCCAAGTGGTATCTTTCCCCTTCCTTTTATTTCTAGGGAAAAAAAAAGAAAAAAAAAAAAAAAGATATCCTCTCCTCTCCTTGATGTCATTTTTCCTTCTATGAATGAACAAGGGAAGGGCAGGGTATGTACCAAGCAGTACTAATGAGCATGTTATGCTTCCCAGAGCTTTGTCCAGAGGAATACATTTTCCTTTGGCATAAGAAAGCTATTGTCCCAAGAGAAGCTCAGAAAGAGGCTTCATTGATTAAAAAAATAAATAAAACAACAGCAGACCAGCCAGTAGAGATGTTGGTCTCATTAAAATAAGGAGCTCCATATAGGCTAACAAGAGCTCCAGCATATTAACTGCCAAGGGAAAACAAAAGGCAGCCTAATTCACAGGGAGAACTCAAAACACGAACAAAGCAAAATATTCACACAGCAGCTATCACAAGAATTCTCAGCATCTGCAGTTTTGTGGCATGCCTAACAAAAGCTAGTCTTACAAAAAAGAAGGAAAAAAGAGGAGATTGAGGAAAACTGTGGCACTTGAACTTCAAGGGCCTGTTCTTCTAAATCAAGTTATTTAGTAAACCCATATGCCAAAGGGTTCCCTGGAAAGTGAAACAGCTTCACTTATTATCAGGGCATCTGAATAACACTAAACAAAAAGACCCCTCCGATGATACAGACTACCCTGCGTGAATTTTGAGTTGAAAAGGTAATATAGTAACAATTACCCATTTTCAGATCCCAAACAGTTTAGTTCTGAGATTGCAGAGAATATGGATTAAAATAGGCTTACCACTTACTGGGAGAGGCATAAAATGAGAAGACCCAGACGTCTGCCACCTTCAAGTAGTCAGCCTGCAAAGGTGCAGAAGGTGCTCTGGTGAGGTGAATGTTGCAGTACCAGGCAGAGTCATAACCAAGTCTGACTTCTTCTAAAACCTGTTGGGTTCCCTGCATCAAAAAGCTGTACATAATGAAGTCAGTATTTGATAGTGAAATCTGGCAGTTCCAGCTAGAACTGTATCAATTTCTGCACGTCAGTTTTATCAACTGGCCTTCATTCAACAGGAATTTGGTGTTCAGGGATCCCAGTTTGTGTAAGAAAAGACCTCAGAATGAAAATACACTGTAATAAGTCCCCCATGTAGCTTCAGGCAATGCCATTCCCTTGCCAGCTGATATCCCCAAGGTCCCTTGGAACAAAAGAATGAATAAGCTCATCACAGCATAAACAATGCTTTTAATAATTCTTTCCCTTCCTCTTACTCTTCCTGGGCAGAAAATACTTTCTGTTGGTGTTTTTCTTCCCCATTTTTCCCTCCTTGCTTCACCCCTTAAAACAGGAAAAGAACAGAAAGCTCTCTACTTCTGCTGCCAATGGCTCCGTAGGATGGAAGGATAGGAGAAATGACACCTAGCCACACCTTACACCTGGATCAACACAGCAACACTGATTTACTGTGAGACTGCTGGTCAGCCCCAAATGATATATTGGGAAAGGCAAGTGCTGCCTTCAGCTGGCAGACTGACAAACCTCCAGTGAAGGACTAGAGCTATGGATCAACATTAGCTAAGAGAGATGAGAAAAACATTCCTATCTATTGACATTTTGGGCACAGGGACAAGCATTTCTCAGAAAAAGGGGTGCAGACACACCCTGGACATGACCCACACAGCCTTGCAAGACCACGGTTTGCCTCTGCTTTCCAAAGAGATGCCTGGCACTTTGCCCTCAGGCAATCTGAGAAACAGCAAAGTCAGCAAATACTAAAGCACTTTATGCAAATACTTCAGGGTGCTAAACACATGCTCTTAGATGCTACATGAGATAGCCTGCTTAGTATCAGTTGTATCAGAATTTATAGATCATTCACTGGTGCCCAACCCAACAAGACATGCTACACTAATTACAACCCATTCTGTAACACAAGATGAACCAAGTCCAAATCCCATTTTACTTGACTGCACAGTTTACAAAGAAAGAAAGAAACAAAACAAACATACAAAAAAAACCTCCATAGGAAGCTCCAACATTGATGAAGCAGCCATTCACCAGGTTAAAGTGGAACCTAAAGGGATTCACAGGCTCATTAAAACACCTTGGGTTAACAGGCTCATTAAAAGAAACTTGGGTAGAAGCACTTTTACATCTTTACCCTGTATTTAAGATATATAACACATCATCTTCTATTCCATCAACACCCAAAGGCAGTCACAACAGACTAACCCAGAGCAGCTGGAAACTGTGGATTAGTCTTGACAGTACCTACTGAAACACATGTTTCTAAACACATTGAAATGAAAGAAGCTGTCATTTCAGTATCTGCTGAAACCTACTACAGGATAGTCAAGATTTTATTTGGTACACATATCCTTACATGCAGAAGAAAAGAGGTAGGCACAAGAGATCCACTGAGTGGAGTGCTATTCCCTCCTCACTACAGCAATTACAGAGACTTTTTGTTGCATTACTGAGTCAGCAGCAGCTCTGCTGCCCTGGGGAGGCCTTGGAGCCATGAAAGAGAAAGAACCAGCCCAGTCAGTTCAAGGTGATGGGCTTTAAGTTGGCAACCAGCTTCTTACATTCAGGCACGCTGATTGCTCTCCTCAGGGTCTGCCTTTCCGCACCTCTCCCTGAAGTGAGTGAGCACACAGTGAAGACACTCTCTCCTTCCAAATGGCGACAAAGGCCCTGGATACACCTGTCAGAGCACAGAAACCCACTTGAAATCAGGGAGGAGTACTTCATCTTAACAGCTGTCATCTCCGCAGGAGACACGCAGACGGCTCCTTTACCACAGGAGCATCCAGACTGGGGAGAGGCTCGTTAACTCAAGGCGTGCTACCACAGCTGCTCACTCGCCTTCACAGGCAAGCTCTTCTCTCTCTCCCATTTCCACCCCACACTTCTGCCAGCAAAGCAACATTGGAGGGTATTACTGCTCGATGCCCATACAGCAGGCTGCTGGCTTGCGATAGTCAGGAGGAGTTTATTACGACTTAAATATAAAATCCTGTCGTCTTATGAAAGATCCACCCAGTACAATTTCAAATGCATGGGTCAGTTAGGCCTTATAGATCCTAAAGGAATATATGTACTTTTTTCCATGGCTTGATCTGATAGTATGCCAAAAGTGACACACAGCATCCCTGGAACACGGCCAGCTTTCGGGCAAAGAGAGGAGCCAGACGCTTTTCGGCTTATTAAGCAATATGAATGAGTGTTTTAGCCAAGAGCACTGGGGCAAACTTCCTACAGAAACAGCACTGCATCCTCAAACGCCTGCATGGGACACAGGAGAGACTGGTTTGAAGGCTGTTATGCAAATACTCTCCCCTCTCCCTTCTCCAGGGTAAGTTTCGCGGCGCTTCCCTTCCAACATCCATGCCGGAGACGCCGGATAGGAGCTGCTGCCCCTGGACAGGTGACCCGGCTCAGCCCAACACCGGGCTCTGTCCGCGCTGCTCGGGGTCCCCGACACGCTCAGCGAGTTTCCAGAGCTGCCCCTGCAGACAGGTGGGACTCACCGAGGGCCGCCGCCCCGGAGCTGCGCGCCCGAGGCACGGACGCTAGCGGGACCCTGCCGCGGCGCCACGGCCGGACCGCCGCGACTCAGGCGCTCCGCACCTTCCACGCTATCCTATGCTACCCAGTCCAGTCCAGTCCAGTCCAGTCCAGTCCAGTCCCGTCCCGTCCCGTCCCTGTACTCACCGGCCCCGCCGCGCTGCCGCTCCCGCACACCGGGACCGGGACCGGGACAGCCCCGCCCGCCCGCGCCGCGCCGGCCGCGCCTTTCGAAAGCGCCAATCAGCGCCCGGGGGCGGGGCCGAGCCCGGCCCACCTGTGCCGGCACCGCCGCTCCGCCCCCGCTCCCGGGACACGGCCTGCGGATACAGCGCTGCTTCCCGGGGACCGCCGCGGCGGGTCGGACAGCAGCATGGGAGCAGCGAGCCGGCCACCTGCCCGCAGAGCAGCCGAGAGCCGACAGAGCCCTTTGGCAGCCGGCGTTCTGCGCCCCGAGCCTTCCGGCGCGCTGCTCCCACCGCCGGCGGCGCGGGGCTCGGCACATCCCTGCTGGTGAGCCGTCCAGGCTCGGGGCCCCGGGAGCGGACCCGGGCACAAGGAAAACAATCACCCTGCCTGCAGCCCCTGTTGGCGTCAGGGAGCCTCGCGCACCATCCAGACGCATTCACGTGTTCCAGGGATGTTGCTGATGGTATTTTTCGGAGCCGTTAAGCACCAACAATTGAAGTCGTAAAGCAAAATAACCTGTGACACACTTTCACGAAGCATAGATACTGTATATAATTTTTACTTTGAAACAGTAATGCAAATGAAGTTACATATTGTATCATGAAAAGGGAGTTTGTTTTGGTGTGACTTTTCTCCATTTCATAGTGTTCCTGCTTGTGAAGAAATAACATCTTGCGCACCTTATATGAACACATTTCACAGCTGAACAGCTGAACTGTGGCATTAACCATTTCATAAGGTTTATTACTGTAAATATCCGGAATATATTTTTAACAGAGGCAAAGCACAAAAGAAACACTGCAATGAAAAAATATCAATGGAAACTTGCATTTCCCCATTTCTCAAGAGGAACTGTAACTCCAATCAGCTTAATAGCAGGAGGAATTAACTGTGTTCCTCTGAGGAGCTGAGGGGCTCTTTCTGATCAGACAGTATAAATACAGAAAAAGTTATACTCACATATGAAGGTCTGATAGCTATACAATATTCTGTGCATAGTGAACAAAATTACTTTTATGAACCCATGTCATGTTTCTATAAAAATGCAGTAAAGAAAATACAATGCACTGTGGCATGCTTTTCTATGAAAGTAAATGTTATGTGGTCCTTTAAAAAGATATTTCTCCTAAAATAAAAAAGTATCCATCACTGCACATCCCAGATCTCACAGAGAAGAGGTGTGAATTTGTGATCATTCACTCTCCATGACATCAGCATCTCTGCATGATGATGGTTAAATGTCCGTAATTCTGTGAGACGACCCAGAAGACATGCAAAATGTTGAGGGTTGTCTGGGTGGTGAAGTTTGCAGAATTTTTGTAGAATATCCAGCAGTGGTTCTTGAAGCCTTTCCACAGAATCTCTGTCCTTTATGTATTGTCGATCTGGTTATGGTTTTAAAAGGAAAGAAGTAATTAGCAAATATATGCTATGATACATTGAAATTATTTACACTGATAATATAAAAATATTCAAATATTTACACTGGCCACTGATGTTCACATCTACCAAGAATATTTATTTTCAAATTAAGAGGAAATAGAAATGCTTAACATTGTATTTTTACATTAGGGTTTTCATGTAAACTTCCCACTTCTGGCTAGGGAAAATTTTAACTTTCTCAAAAACCAAAGTTTTTTAACTCTGCAATGTTTCACTGGAGTTTTATCATCATCTCCCCACGTGGTTCTGCACTAGAGTATGTCTTGTGATGCACTGCAACAACTGAGCAACACATCGTAAGTTCTTGGAGATGTAGTAGTCCTGGGGAATTTGGCCAGTACAGAGAGGGTACAAGCAGGTCACCAGAGCAAAATCAAACATCTTCATCCTCAGATGAAATTTCTCTTTTAGAAAATACTTGTCCTTTTATTTTGTTCATATGGAAGTATGTGATTGGATACTTGGAGAGGGAGGAAAAGAGGAGGATGGGGGTTTTGTTACTAAAACACACTGATTCAAAGAGTGATAGAAATGCTTCACCTTCCCATCTTCCATGAAACCTGATTTACAAACCTCAGTGTCCATCCTTTACCCTGAAACTTCAGGCTTCTCTTCTCTCATTCTTATGATAGTCTGTTTGAAGCACTATACAATTTCTCCATATTTTGTAGGTAGAGGTGGTTAGCTTTCTGTTGTCAAAGAATTAGATTTCATGGCAAAGCATGTAATGAGGGCTCAGATACTATTGTGCCAGTACTTCCACAAGGTCTATTTTCAACAATTTAGTAGTCAGGAGGGCAACTTTCTACTGTCCTTCTGCTCTTGGCATCTAGGGTTTGTCCAGTAAAGGATGAAGACCTTCATTACCATATTCTGTTCTAATTTATAGGGTTTCCCAATTTCCCCCTAAAAAATTTGACATTCCACAGTTTTCAGTAGTGATGTGCATGTAACCATGTGGGATTTTCTGAAGGAAGAAGCCTGTTGTGCTAAGCAGTGAAGAGACACCAGTAATTTTTTTAAGTGGTGCATTTTACCAGTCTTTTACTTCTATACAAAGCCAAATGATGTAGCAGGACATTTGGTGTTCTCACTTGTATATTTGTTTTCTGGTTTAACGACTGAATATACTGAATAAGCATGTATGCTCACTCCATGTAGAATGTAAAGTCACACTCTGCATGCTTTCTTTCCAGAATCAAAAATATTTAATCCCGGATGAGAAGTTACCTGGAGACAGGATAACTATGGCTGTGAGCAGTGCATATTCTTCCTGTGTCATCTTCAGCTCCCCAATGCTTTTATAAAAATTAAACATGGGAGTTATGAATTCATCTGAAATACCTGTGGGAGGGAAAAAAAAAAGTTATAGTATTTCTTAATTATTAAAACAACCTAGTTTGTTGCTACATAGCAATTATTTTATATTTCATATTGATTGTCTTAGTGGGAGAAATTTACTACACTAATCAGGCCTGATGCAAGACAGTTACAAAAATGTGAGCACATCCTTGTTTTCCAGAGCAGACTAGACATGGGCAAGCACTGGTAATTCCTTTTTGCGTGGCTTCAAAGTCTTTCAAATAATTCATTTTCCTCTGCAGGTATGTCCATCTGGCTCTTCAGGACAAGTCTCATATGTGGTTTTCTTGTCATCTGCTGATATTCTAGCTGCCTCCTCTTTGCAAAGCAGTCACCATGTTCCCTGTCTCTGCATTAGTAATGTGGAAATCTCTCAGGGCATATGGTTTAACTCTAGCCCAACTCTACTCTACAGCTGCCTCAGGCAGTTGCTTCAGTCATCTCCACAAAGACACTTAATTACTCCTTTTATGTAGCATGAAACTTTAGTTAGGTCTAGGATTATAGTCCAAGATCAATTTGCTTGCAACTACTACTACTTTAAAGCATGAAATAGTGTATTATAAAATATAGAGTCATAAATAACTAAAATCCAGACAAATTTAAGGATGGGATCATGCGATTCTCGCACCATCAGCAAACCCCTTTGGGGTTACCCAACTGTGACATGTCAAGGGAGCTTCCTCTTACTGACCTTGTCATCAGGTCACAGTGTTCTTACTTAGCCTTAAATTACAGATGTACTCCATTCTGCTCTTTGGTGTAAAAGAGAAGTAGATCCTGTGACACCAAAATTATTTTTTTTTAAATGATGTGTGAGTCACTCAAAGCAGACACTAGATTATTGACAGCAGCTGCTTGCAACTCTGAAATGGTGGCACTGATAAAATGTAGACATCCAAAAAAAAAAGCCTTTTGGCCTTCCTTGGCTGAAAGGATGGAAACCTCCTCTGTTGCCATAAATGAGTGCCATAGGATTTCTTGAAGTTTTACTCTTATTTCTGAGCTGTTCTAGGAGAAGTCTTTATAACTTGGTGTGGAAATCACATGAAATAATGCAGTTTTGAGTGCTGAATACAATACAAAGCTGAAGTCCAGGACTGGTGAGGTTTGGAGTGCCTCCAATAGGGGAAATTCAAAATGAAACTCGCCAGGTGGAACTCAAACAAAGGAAACTCGAAGTCACTTGACTTAAACATGAAACAGTCACATTTTGCTGTGACAGTAAATTTACTTCATCCAGTGGAATAGTTATGTGTCCCCACAGTGAAAGAATGGTCTTGCAGGGTGTGGTTTATTTCATGGCTGAGTCATGTATTTAAATGCATGACATAGCAACCTATGTTCACTTCAGATTACAAGCCACAAGTCTTGTTTTTGTAACAAGTTCAACACTAGTAAGTTAATTAAGTGGATATATATGATGCAGGTCAGCTCATCCTGTAGACATTAGTAACACAGCTGCAGCTTTTAACAGAGCAAACAATAGTCACAGATTTTAATGTTCTGTGAGGATTACGTTGTTAGTCATCAGCACTAACTATTTCAAATTTGAAACGCTTGCTGTTCCTAACTTTTGGGGAACCACTTGTCTCTCTCCTGGGTGGTTTTAAATGCCAAAGTTCCTTACAATATATGAGTAAAACATACCTATGGCACACCAAAGTCTTAAAGTTTGCATGAAACTAGAAACAGGAAAGAAAGCTGAGCCTTAAAGCAGAGCAAATTAATTCCTTTCATGGAAGTTAATAACTCAGCAATGACATGAGAAAAGTCCAAGACAAACTTAATATTTTTAGAAGTCTTTGTGCAAGGTATTGTGCTGCTGGGCACAGTCATCTTGGCAGCAGACAAGAAATGGGAGGAAGTGGACTGTGACTAAGACTCCCATCATTTGTTTCTCATACTCATAACTTGTTTCTTTCTCTCTCTCTTTTTTCTTTCTTTTTTTTTTTTTTTTTTTTTTTTTTTTTTTTTTTTTTTTTTTTTTTTTTTTTTTTTTTTTGAAGGTCAGATTAACTTTCAGCTGGATGAATTTATTGTTTTGCTGACCACAAACTCCTGAAGTCCTGCTGTCAATATAGCAGAAGTAGGGTGAAAATGATGCTGGGGAGCAAAGTGAGGAATAATTATTTAATTAGCTCAGGTCCTTGCTGGTCCAAACACTGCATTAGCATGTAGTAAAACAATCCCTAATCCTCAAAGCTTATAAGCTAACACTAAGAAACTAAAGTATGGATGAGTGAAGAAAAAAATGAGCATAGGTGTGGAAGCAAATGAAATTATGGCAGAGAACTTCTCTGCATTACTTTAATACAAACAGAGAAATGAAACAAAACAGAAGAGATGAAAGGGAGCAGAAAGTGGTGTTTCAGCAATGCAACTAATTTACCTTTAGACTTTTACTAAAGAGAACAGAATGTTGAAGTCTTTAAACCGATACATGTCACAAGACAATTATTAGCAAAACCGTGCAAAATGAACAATTTTGAGACTAGAATAATGGAATTTTTTTATCAGTTACTAGTTTTGCCATCATCCCGTCTGTGCTGGAGTTTCCCTGCTGTTTCATCATCCCGTTTGCACGTTACACAAATTGCTCTTCCATCACAAGAGGGGGCTGTTTTCTATGTGATTGAAAATGCTTCCGTTTGGATTTAATAAGCTCCAACAGAAAGGAAAAAAAAAGCAGGAAACACAGGAAACAGATGTTTATAGTTCTTACTTTTTTTTTCTTAGCTACTGTACAAGATGTTGTCACTTCAATTCAAATTATTAGAACAAGAATTAAAGATGATTTGATGCTTGTAATGGGAAACACTAAAAAAGAAATAAATTACATGACTTTCCCAGTGCCATTGTTATAAGTTATACCCCAAAAGTGAGAAAAAAATAAAATAAATAAAGGTATATTTCTGGCCTCAACAAAAATAGAAAAGTTAGTTCCATCTAACCCTCTTTATTTAGATCAGCCAAGAGCCCTGCACTATACTGTGTCAGCCAGGCAGAGCTTCCTGGTCAGTGCTAATAGTGCATCCTTCCTAATGCTTTTTTCAGAAGGCTTTCAAAACCTTGTTTCATCCAGCATTACAGCAATAAGAACATGCTCCTCCCTCATGGGTCCTTGGGCATCATTCTGAATTGCACAGATTTCTGCCTGACTACCAGCCCAGCTCAATCATCTGCGCAAGATACTGCAGGTCATTTGATTGATTTCTCTATGTTAATGCATGACTGGCTGTAAACCCAAGTGTAGTCAATCGGAAATACGAGCTTTACCGAATACAGTCTTACAGCATTAGATTAGAGCTGATTTAAACCCATAAACATTACTCATTGAGCACCCCTTACCTGGGTAATTTCATCCCCATCTGTTAGTTAAGACACAACTTTGCTTTAGACCTTGCCTTTTTTAGAGTTCTGTTGCTTTGATTTCTCTATAAAGGTAAGATGACTGATGTTTTCATAAGGTTTGCCTTATGGCCATAAATAATTATCTGGTTAATGTAATCCTGGAATAGGTGTTCTTAGTATGATATCAAGTCAGTATTGCCAGCTTTTTGAAACAGTATTCTCACTTCTATCTTGTCTGTTCGGTAAAACTGAATAATTAATCTATTGCAAGAAAGCTTGAAAGTAAGTACTAATTAACAGTAACTAGCACTGTGTTATTAATATAGATAAAGAAATATTTTTTCTTGATAAACATGGAGGTGACAATGGATATTGAACCAAGGGTGTATTAGTAGCTGCTTTATGCAAATAAAATATTTTAATTACTTGCAAACTTACATTTTATCTTGCACGGTATTTTATCTGCCAGAACTACTTTCCATGCTGCTTATGAGCTCTCCCTTCTGAACTATTCAAATGTATCAGTGACCCTTTAAACACTGACCAAATTCAACCATTGATGCCAAATAGGGGGAAATTTAGATGCTAGAGAGGACACACTGAAGCATGTGCACATGACCTCTCTTCTGTCTGTCACCATTTTGTAGGATTTAAACAGCTAACTTAAATGAGATGTTAGCATGTGTCAAGGAGAACTCACAATCAGGATAGCAAAACTCCATCCCCTTTAAAGCAATCCGTAGGACTTCTGTGAAGTTAGCATTGCAAGCAAAGAAACCTTACTTAGAAAAAGACCCCAACCAAACCCGCAAGGAGAGTGCAAATGACATTGCCACATACCATCTTTTGGCAGTATCCTGAGTGCCTGCAGTCAGGAGACAAATTTGGTCTGGCACAGAGCAGCAGCGTCTGCACTGCCTTGAGCTTGTCTTTGCGGGTAGTGTCTAAATAAGTTTTTGGCCTGGAGAAGCATGTTTACACGGAAGAAAAGAGACTGAGTCCCTGTGATCTGTTCTTGTTTTCATGGGTATAAATCTAGTCTGGAGATATAATTTAAATACTTTCAGCTACTTTATTTGTAATTCAGGAACATAGCAATGGCTAACTCAGTGTGGTAGATTATGCAGGAAAGGTATGCAAACAGAAAATCTCTTTTCTGTATTCTGCAATTAAAACTGGTCCTAACTTCTAAATGTTTCAGGCATTATGCCAGTTTTGAGTCGAGTCACAGGAGGGTGTCTTTTTCCATGAGGATGCATGGAACTATTCGAGGGTTAGACACTTTGGACTCAGCAGTGAAGATAATTTCATTTTGTTTCTCTGCACAAACCCCAGTACAATGGGGGTTTGAAACACCACCATTACTCACTACCAATAACCAAGTCATAAAAACCAAAGGCAGTGGAAGTGATTAGTTATCCATTGTTCTGATAACAAATTTTGCCTTTGGTTGCAGGAATCTCTTGTCCAAATTAACAGGAACTTTGTGTCCCCCATTCAATGGTAAAAGGTGGACTCTTGCCAATGGTTTGAAAGTGTAGCTAATTTTTTTTTTTCCTTGGATCTGACTGTACTTCAGCACCTGTAACCCTTCCAGGAAGAGAACAGTGTATTTCAAAATGTCAGATGTCCTACTGCCAACCTAAAATTTGTGTCCAGATTCTTCCATTTCTGTTAATATCAGACAGTATCTTATTTCTCAGTACTCAAATTCGTAGAACAAGTCTGTAGAATAAAATGATGAATTAAAAATCCATGTCTGTTCCACTGAAAGCTGACCACTGAAAGCTGGTATCCTTAGGAAAACAAACTACAAATGCTCACTGAGAAAAAAAAAGTCAGTATCTCAGCACTGATTTAAAAAAAAATACTGTAATGCTCAATAATGGGGAGAATTTACTTTCAAAATAACAGAAAAATTAAATTACTAAATTTTAGCAATTTAGCATTAAATTACTAAAATGTCAGCCATTCACAGAAAGAGTCAATCACAATGTGGTGTGTGCATAATGAAGCATCTATTAAGATAAATCGCACAAATTCTCAATAATATTGAATAAAATGTCTGTATTTCTCATCAAGTTTCAATATTAGAGTGAGTAGGAGAGGATTTCAGTCACAGGAACAGCTAATGTAATAATTTCCATAACAGCTTATGGAGAAAGACTATCAGGGCACAAAGACAGTCTCTGAGATGCAACAGGACTTGAGCAATATGCACAAGCTAAGAAATAAAAACACACCTCATCAGCATGAGAATGAAAATGAACGCTGATAATGCTCAAAGGTCATCACCACCAGATCTCTGACTTCTTTATCAGAAAAAAACCCAACAAACCATTCAATACAATCAAACTGGGGAAGGCATAAATATTAATAGAGGCGAGCGGCTTCAAAGTGGACTTGGTGGCAGGTGACAGATATCTGGACAGCTTGTGACTTTTAGGCAGGATCACCACCACCCTCCCTGATTTTATGGATAGAAGCATCAAGGCTTGACAATAGGACTTATGTGATATTCAGGCATTTGTCTGCACCGAAAAATATGCAGACAGAAGTTCTGACTAATAGCAATATTTTGTGGCTGCTGGTGTGACAGTGTTTAGAATCTCACTAGGAGCCATGAATAATCCTGATAATGTTTCTTCCTTTTTTACCTATCAACCTAATTTTTAAACTCTCAGTCAACCATCCCTGAATTTCTTCTGCTGCTCTCTGTTTTCTTTGTAGGTTTCAGCTTGCTGCATTTAGATGTTGGGGTTTTTTGGTGGTTTTTTGTTTTTTTTTCCGGTGAGGCTTTTGTAAAAAAAAGGTGTTTAATCTCTTCTGGCAGGCTTATGTCTTGGATGAGCCTATAACATGGTAATGGCAAGCTGCAACTTTTAGTAGTGTTTGTCCTTACTGGTTAAGGCCGGAAAAGACTGCTTACATTTCTACCTTGATGTCACGTTTGGTACAGGTTACTATTCAACCCAGAGTCCTGATGTTGAGTCCTATGGCATGCATATTCAATATTTTAAAATATAATACTGAATGTTTTTGAAAGCCATATGTGTAAACAATGATAACAGAAGAATTTGCATGCTTTTCTTTCATTTTATTTAAACTTGGAACACCTGAAAGTGATGAGGATTTAAGCCACAAAAACAGGCTGTTTCAGCAATAGGTATTCTAAAACTTTTTTCAGAGTTTTATTTATTTAAATAGGTTTAGTTCAGTAATTAAGTTAACAGTGCTACAAATGCAAAGACTTACAGGCTGCTTTTGTTGTTTACTGTCACAGCTCCATTAAACGCAGCCAAGGAAAATCTTCTAAAGTAGGCTTGAATTTGCACAGAGTGGAGAAATAAAATATATGGAAAAGCTTATTTTGTTCTGTATTCTGGCTTTTAACAGAAGGAAAGAATGCAGTCAGCAGCAGTAAGCTGGATAATTCATTATCCTTCTGTAATACAGGGAGGGAGAAATTCTAGCAGTATTTCCTCTTATGTTTCCAACTTGAGCCTGGCTTCAGGGAAGATGTTTTAGAAAGCCTTTTCCAAGGGCAAAGAGAAACATATGCATGTATATACACATTAGAGAAGTTATTGTGTTTCATTTCTTGGGAACTATTCAGCCTAGGTTTTTGATCTGATCCAGAATCCTTTTTTAATTTACCTTGGAGGTTTTTTGCCCCCCAGAAAAAAAGAATTGCAGGAAATCTTTCTTTGGAGTAAACAATACCACATTTCTCATTGTTCCATGTCTTGAAATTTTCTTTTACACAAAATGCTCTTTTTCAAATCTGCTTCATGACAGTTAAATAATGCTAATGCAGAATGCAATGTAATATTCCAGCTAATTGTGTTGTGATGTGAAGTTTTATCACTAAGTCTAATACAAACTTGCAAAAAATAATATTACATCTTATCTGGATTCAGTAGTTGCAGAGAATTAACTGAATATTTTTAAATTATGAATAAGGAAAAATTATTGGTATGACATATTGGCTTATGTAATGGTCTGTATTAAGTATTTCCTCTGCTTCTTTTTCTTTTTTATGAACAGTTGATACCTTGAACAAGAAGGATGATACTCACTGTACAGATTAGAGAAGTTTTCAGTAATCATATAGCCATATGGATTGATTTCTCTAAGATCTATTTTTATAAAAAATTTAGGTTATAAACCAATAGAAATTTATCTCATTGAAGAGATTTAGATACACTCAATGCAGTTTCCAGGAAATATATCTGGCCTTCTTGACATACTTATCTGCCTGCAGAACCCGGACAAGAAGCTCTTCATATCACTCTGGAAGTCATCATTTCCAGTCCATCAAACAGTACCCTCTTACAATCGATCAAAATGAAAGAAATATAAAAAACTACTAAATACTAGCCTATAAATAAGCGTGCTAAGCCAAAATAAATACATACTTGCAAAAAATGAATTATTATGAAATTTTCTAACTCCTTCTCAGTGTTTAAAATGTATAAGTATTGGCTTAATTTTGCATACATCAGTAGCACTTTCTGATTCAGAGTTTCAGAACTGAGTTCAAGGCCATTTCCATGACTAGTATTGAGGTTACATGTTCTTCTGTCTCTTGTCTTTCTGACCTTTAAAACAGAAACTCAGAAGCCAGAATCTAGAAGCTGACTCTGATTCAGGATTGTTGGCATATTCTGTATTCTGTGATGTGAATTTTCAACGATGGGTAGCTGAGGGTTAGATAAAGCTTGCTGGTCAATACAAAAAAAAAGCAAAACATCCAGTATTGGTGGAACACAAAGAATGCATAAGAAGGTAAAACACCACTTTGTCTGCTTTAAGGAGCAAACAATACCTAGAACCATTTGGCTTTCCATAATTATTAAGATTTATGCCTAGAACCAGTAGAATTTATGAGAATTGCTGAGCCTTTGAGGGACCTTAAGAAGCAGAAAACACATTGAGAACATGCCATGTTTATAATTCTTCTATGCACCTTTTACCAAACTGACCCTAAGAATATGTGGCTGCCTTCAGTCATCTCCAGTAACATTCTAAAATCATTTTTTCTTTCCTTCTTACAGTGATCGCTTTTGAAAGCACACTTTATTGAAAAATTTGAAATGGTGATATTTCTTCTTCATTGTTCCTTCACACCTTTGATTGGAGACATGCACTGCATTTTTTGATGTAGCATTATTTATAATACTTGCAATGTATTTATAAAGAAACCTTTACCCGATGAGCTTTAGACTCAGGGCTGAGTTAGGTTGGTTCTAGTTAGTCTAAAGAACAACAAATCTGTTTCAGTGCTAATAAACAATTTTACTAGCTTTCCAAGGGCCGAATACTGACAGAGAAGTGTAATGGTGTGTTTTGGTTTTTTCCTCATTAAACAAGATACTCACCACTATTGCGAATTCTTTCTTCTAAAAGGACAGTATGCCCTGTCGGAAGTTTCCTACTGAAGATCTCAGCTGAACGGAGGAACATGGCTTCTACTGCTGAGCCCTTCAGCAAAGCAATCTGGTCTTCATGATCAAGAGTTTGGAAGCCTGGGGAGATATTAGAGATAAGTCAGGCAGCAATGGTAAACGTTCCTACTTCTTTCTGTCCTGAAATTCTTGCACGTGTAGTGCCACTCATCTGCATAGCCTTGATGTTGGTGCCAGTAGGGTTGCCAAGTGCTGTGTAAATTGAAACCCAGATTTCAGAAAATGACACATATTTGAACTTCACTGAATTTTATGAAGATTACACGTGTTTCAGTGTTCATGGTACTTTTAGAGGAATGTGGTGAGCAAAATCTAGTGGCGTAGCATAACCAATAGAATTTTGTCTAGTCTTATCCTGCTCCCTAATACCTTCTTTCATGTTTCCACCAGAGCTCTCTATATGGCTTTCCCACTGCCATGCTGCTTCCAGGCCTTTCCATGTTCTGAGGGCAAAAATCAGCATTTGAAGAATCTAATTTTAAACATTCCACCTTGCCTTTGGACTAATATACTATTTTACATAGAATCTTCCTGCTGTATTTTAAATATTCATTTCTCTTTCAATTAAAAATCTCCTCTCTTCTTCATTTCCTGCAAGCCTGTATCCCAGTTAACATTAAAAAAATATAGTTACAACTGCAGTACTGGGCTTTAAAGCAAGCCTGTGAGACACGGAGGAAGGACCGGGAAAATCATGGGTTTGTACAGCTAAGTGTTAAAATGTGCCTTCCTTAATTAAAGGGAATCTCTACAATGTCCAGTGTTCAGTACAGAGGTAGCATCAACTTGGATGTTAAAAAATACTAGTGATGAACTCAGATTTTAAGTGCTTGTCATTAACACACTGTGCAAGGACCATAAATATTGGTGCTACCAACTTTTTGTCTGTGACTCACAATTCAGCAGATGTTATGACCTAGAGGCATTGCTAGAATGGCAGCAAAGAGTAGGAAGCAGAGTCTGGCAAGTGTTATCGGTAACTAGAAGCAGATTATTTGCCATTGCAGCAATATATGAAAATAATTATATATATATATAATAATTATGTGTCTCTCTAGAGACGCAACCCCTTCTCTGAGCATTTTGTGTGTCAGTAGGTAAAGAGTGCTACATCTCAGACTGGCAGAGTTTGAATTATTCAGCATATTATTCTTCTGAGCACAAAGCACCTTTTCCTTGGACCGTGTGTGAAAAATCTGTAGGAATAGGAGGCATTTTCATATAGTCTTCAAAATATTGCCAATATTGCTAATATACAATTGCTAAAGGGCAACTGAAAGGTATGTAAAATTTGCAATAACAAAATTTGCCCCAACATGCTGGATATACCTGGTAGTTTTTTTGTGAATTCCACAAGAACCTGCACATGACTGGTAGCCATTTCTGTTAAAATCAGAAAATTTCCTTCAGCACTGAATTCCTCGTTTAACTGTTAGAAATCAAACAAGCAAAAAAAATCCATTAATTTTCACTGACATTTCATATTTAAGAGCATAAAATATAAGAACTATTAGGCAGGACCAGGCAAGAGTTCCACCTAACACTGTAATTTGTCTCCAATTTTTCTTCGAAGTATTTTGGAAGAAGTAAAAGAAGTTGACAGTGTGTCTTTTTCTCTGGAGTATGTCTTACTTTCAGTGTCATGTTCAGCAATGATTTAGGCACTTAGAACTAGCTAGAATTTCTATGTCTATCCTAATATTTAAACAAAGGCCTTGTTATAAATGAATCTGTCTATTTCTTTTGATCAGGTATTTTTTGTTTTGACCTCTTCAGTCTCCCACAGAAATAAGTTCCACAAGTTAATTAGGCTTATTCAACCCTTCCCCTGCAAGTGTCTTTGTTCTGTTTTTCAAAGCTATTGACTTAGGAAATTATTTTCTACAGTAGTTTTGGTTATAAGTTTGCTTGGGGATTGTTTGTTTTGTTTTTTTTTTTTTAATTGAACATAACACTTTTTAAAAAATGTATCTCTTTTAAATCCTTTTTTCTTCTTCTCCCTGTTTCCCAGCCTTTTTCCATCCAACCATGAAAACTGGGAGTTCATAAAGGACAATGGAATTTCTAGAAGATATAGAGGAAAAAGAAAGAAGAGAGGATTGAACAAAAATCCAAACATGGAAAATGTTGGAAATTGTGTTTAAAAAAAAATAAATATTTTCAAGGTTCCAGGCTGGCGTCTTTGTAGAAAGGAAGCTCATCAGTGAGTTGAACTCAAACTGTCTATACTGACAAGCTAAAAAACAAAGTTCAAATCAATAAAGGTTAGATTTGAACATTAAGGTGTTATTTTAGAGTTGAAAGTTTTTCTTAACATTAAAGTTTGATTAAGATGTGGTCTAACTGTTGACTGAATGGGAGAGATTCTGCCCCACTTGCAGCATCCTTTAACTGTAAGCTGTTACCTATAGTTCACTCTACTACTTACTACACCTGTTTATGCTGACTACAAATATTTTTTGCCATCTAATCCTCGGCTTTATTATCTGCATCTCAAAAATTAATTCACCAATATACTTACTAGTTTTTTTGAGACCTCCTGTGGTATTTGTTGTTTACTGTATGAATCCATGATATAATCAAGAAGGTTCTGCTGTTCTGGGGTAAACTCTACCTTCTCCTACACTGGCAAAAAGAAAAAAAAGAAAAAAACAGCCCATCATGAAATGCAGTCATAGAAATGATCTATGACCGCTGGCTTTAGGCAAAAGACACACATCTGTTTTTTGCATTTGGAGACCAAGCAGATAAGAGATCTGCTTGTCACTGAGGTTTTTGTAGAGTGTACAGAAGAGAGGTGTTTAAAGCTTTTAAACTGCATGGGTCTGTATAGTTAATTATTAGAAATATGGAAGTGTTCAGCAAGTAACTAGGTATGATCCATCTTTATTATCACATGTCACCATATGTGATATATGCCTGACATATGTACCACAGAAAAAATACTGTATGGATTTTATAGATGCTTTACAGCATATGTAGAGTTTTGACTAAAAATATTAGAACCACTTCTCAAGGTACTTCCTTGGCTTGATGGAAGATGGAGTTTTAATTAATAGAGACAGCTCCAGAGAGTTTTCAATACTCTATTTTCACTGTATTAGACACATTTAACAAAAACCACCAGTACTGTACAAGCTATTACAAGAATTCTCTTACCCTATATATTTTAGTTGTAGATGTTACTTGTTTCACATCCTGGCTGTCATTATCTTCGTTGACTGTCTGATCTGGGGGCTGCTTCACATTTTTCCGTAGTCTTTTTGACTTGCACTGTATCTCAGTTAACAGACCTAGAATACATAATCCAGCACAAAGCAATTTGATTTATATATGCCTCAGGCACTGAATAAGTACATAAGTATGCCCCTGAGTGCCCTTTACACCAACAAACCTGTTTACCTGTGCAGATAATTTCCTGAATGTGTCATTATCTTTGGATGTGAGTCTAATGAGTCATGCTGTGTACATGCTAATGAGTAGTCTAGCCCAGATGGAGCTCATCTGCAGAGCAAGACAGTTGTTTATGGTGACCCAGCATCCACACAATGAGCATGTCAGGGGTCTTGCTTTGGACCAGCTCTAATCTATTCTTACAGACAGAAAACCTGTAAGTGATGTGAGTGAGCTGGATTATGCTTTTGGTTTAGTTTTAGACAAAAAACCCCACCCCTTCCTATGCTCTAAGACTGGAACCAAAGTGCAATGAAATAGGAGCAATTGGAAGACAGTCATCAGAGGTGTGCTCCTCATCTGCTCCAAAACAGCAATCCAGGTGCATCTGTTTTTAGGCAAAGGGCACTGGATATTTTCAATAATATTTAAGAAATATTATGTCTATTGTGCAGAATCTTCAGACAGAAAGCTCACTCAGAAGAGTGGACTCAGGGCTTTAGCCACTACTGTGTCACTACACAGATAAACCAAGAGCTAAATATGAAGAGCAAGAAGTAACTCAGACTGACAGAGGTACCTTTAAAATGTATTTATTTAAAACTTTAGCAGCTGGTCTTGTTGGTTTGCTTTTCAGTGTATTAGAGGACTGTATAAAGCCCTGGCTTTGTCACAGAGTTTCTCTTGCCCCAGTGAAAAGATTTTTGCACTTGTGCTTTGGAGGTTTTGCACTTGCGGTGTTGTTTATTTTTTTTTTTTTTTTTTTTTTTTTTTTTTT